GCGGGAAGACAAGAAGAGCAGAAACGGGCTGGAGAAGAAAGAGGAAAAGGGAGAAAAGAAATAAGCCATCCTTATCCAAATTCTCCTTTTTTAAGTCCCTCAAGTTTGGACATTTTGGCTCTTAAGCCCAAAACAATATTTTCTCACACAAAAACCCTTACTTAAATGCTAAAATAGCACAAAATTTTGGGGTATTACAGATTAACAAGAATTTAATTAAACTTGTATCCATTAATAAAAAAAACCTTGGATTTGAGGGCAAGGTTAAAGGTTTAAGCCTTTGATATACTAAACAACTAACTCTTTAAGGTAAAGAAGAAGAAGAAGAAGAGGTTAAAGGTTTAAGCCTTTGATATACTAAACAACTAACTCTTTAAGGTAAAGAAGAAGAAGAAGAAGAAGAAGAAGAAGAAGAAGGTTAATTAGATATAAATATAAAATTTTATTAATCAATTATTATATCTAATTTTATTAAAGAAAAAAAAAAGTAAGAGAGTTAAAGTTAAAATGAAAGACAGTCTTTTAGTAAGTGTGGTTATTGCCACACACAAAAAGTGTGGGGCCACATTTATTTTTCAATCTTTGTCTTTAAATATTAATTTTAATTGATTTAATTATCAAAGATAATTATTAACTAATAATTGAGAAAATAATAATTAATTATTAATTAACCGACTGAAATCAATCAGCCAACTGAAATATCTAAATATTGTAACTAGCTATTTAACACTATAAGTAGGTTGATGTGGTTACGACTTACGACCACTAATTTATTTGTTAAAATTATTAAAATTGTGTTAAAAATACTAGTTATGTTTGATTTGTTTGTTAAAAATAAGTAATGATTCATATAATAATTGATATTTATTATTTAATAAATTAAAATTAATTTATAAATTGATATTTTTAAAATTTATAATTATTTGTGTTTAAAAAAACTACAAATATCAGTCAAATGAATTAATTTTGGCACCCTTGACAAATGAATAGATGTCGGTAACTGTGTCCCTACTTTTAACTTTAATTAAAAAAATATTTTTTTTGTGGAAAAAATAATAATTGCTAATAATATTAAGGAAAAATATTTTTTTAATACAAATTATACTTTTTCAGTTTAAATATTAAAATTTTGTAAATATTTTTAATAAAATTACCTTTTAAATTTACTTATTAATAATATTTTTATAATTTTGTTGTTAAAATTATATTAAAAAATAACATCTGTACTGAAAAATATCTTTCTCTAATTAAATATTTTGCTAGTTAGAGCTGCAGCCGGAAAAACACATATCTCGAGGTCTGCGTTTTTATTTTTATTTTTAATCATGTGCGGGGTATGCAGTCTTTATTTTTCATGATTTAAAAGTTAAAATGTTTTCTTAGTTTAATCTCTATAATTTAGTAAAATACAGACCATTTATATCAAAATTAAATAATTTACTTCTATAAAAAAAGTTAATTTTTTCCCTTAACCTTTTAAATGTTTGAATCTTAAACAATAAAATAAAATGAAAACAAATCCCTTTAATTACCAGCAAAACAAAACCTAGAATTAGAATTATTAGCAAATAAAATTAACTACAACAACAATAGGACCGCCCACGTGGTATGCATTCGGGAATTATTTTAAAGCTAAATTTGTTGTATAGAATTGATAAAAGATTCCATTCATGTGAGGACAAAATCACAAAATCACATGCAACGCTCCCCCCGCCCCAAATTGTAATTCGTTGAAAAAAAAGTCACATGCACTGCATTCAACATATTTTGTCGAAGAAAAAGCATTTAATTTTAAAATATAAGGAAAAATTGTTTGTTTGTCATATTTATAACAATTTAAGTAAGAGTTTATTTTAATTAATTTTTTAATAAATTTAATTGATAGATATTAATTTTTTTAAAAATAATATGCATATAATTTATTTTTTTAATTTTTATTTATATTTATATATATTATTAAATAAGTGTATATTTATAATATTATGACCTATAAAGTGAAAAGAATCAATTTATAAAAGTTTCATTCATCTTCACATAATAAACTTAATTTTTAATTTAGGATATTTAAATATAATTGCTTATTTTTTTAATATATATCATTTAATGGTTTTATTTTTATTACTATCATTTAAAAAAGTTAATTATAATATATATATTAAATAAAAAATTTTATTTAAATAATATTTAATTAAAAATAAATATAA